CCCCAAGAGAGTTTGAGGACCAGGGCCTGGGGGAACAAACCCATGGGCCAACACCCCGGTTCTCTACCAAAGTATACAAAAACGTAGGCGTGGGCGTTTATGGTGGCCATGTAACCTGGTAGTTTCTCTGCCTAACTCAGGAAAGCTGAGGTGGGGAGAATCTCACTTGGAAAGGCCCAAAGGAAGGTCCTGAGGCTATAGCTGAAGGGCCAAGTGATCATTACCCACGTGGTACCTCTTAGGCCTGGAACAGAGTAAGACCCATTTCAAATAAATAAATTTAAAATTATGAAAAAATTGTAAATTGTGGCAAAAAACAAACCATCTGCCAGTGGGTTTTTTGAGTGATAAGAATTCTTTAAAAGGTGGGAGACCAAAAACGGATTTTTCATAACATTTCCTTATCAATGTGTTTTAAGTAATCAGCTTAAAAGCAATTTAAAAATAAAAGTAAATTTAAAAACTGATTATATTTAATTTTCGCGTTTCCTTATCCCGGGTTTATTCCCAAAAGTAATTTGGGCTTTTTTTTTATGTAAAAAGGCATTTAAAAAAAAGTAACCAGATGAGGAGAAGTAAAAACCTAATGGCCCCAGAAGTGGGAGGTTACTAAGGGGGAACGCGAAATTCAAAACATATTGGAACGGCTAATGTTTGAATTAGCATCTATTAAAAAGTGTAAAAAATGGGGGCTGGGCGCCGGGTGGGGCTCATGCTGGTAAATCCCTAGCCCCTGTAATCCCAGCACTTTGGGAGGCCGAGGCGGGTGGATCACCTGAGGTCAGGAGTTCGAGACCAGCCTGACCAACATGGAGAAACCCCATCTCTACTGAAAATACAAAAGTAGCCAGGAGTGATGGCACATGCCTGTAATCCCAGCTACTCGGGAGGCTGAGGCAGGAGAATGGCTTGAACCTGGGAGGTGGAGGTTGCAGTGAGCTGAGATCATGCCACTGCACTCTAGCCTGGGCAACAGAGCAAGACTCCATCTCAAAAAAAAAAAAAAAAAAGTGTAAAATGTAATTTAATACAGAAAATGATCCTACATAAATACATGGATAACTGATGGGATGCCTATATAATAAAAAACTGAGAACAGTTTAAATGCCCACTGGTTAGAAGAATAGTTAAATAAATGATGGTATGCATAGAATATGAGGGAACAGTTAAGAACAATCTACTTGGAAAGGCACAGAAAGGTAAGTTCATGATGCTCAGTTAAAAGAAAAGTTGACAATGTGTACCCCAAATCCCCTAATTTCTTTTTAAAGTGTTTCTGGAAAGACACATACAAAACTTAACTGGAGAGTAGAAATAAAAAGAATTTTTTTAATGTATTTTTGATTTTTTACAAATATGGTTTACTTCGGTATTTAGAAAATAAAATGCGTTCTTATGCTAACCATGAACCATCATTTTTATCTGGGCTTGCAAGGGTCTGAGCTTCAAAGGGTAAGAGACGAAAGTCAGTTATCCAATAACAAAAGAAAATTTTATTTTGGTGGGAATAGTAGTAGAGACTGAATAAGTTTCATTTTCAAAAAAGAAATCACTTATTCATCAAATTACCTCAAATATCTATTTTTTGTAACATTTCTCTAAAAAGAAGAGTAGGGAACTATTTCAACTCAACTCCCTGTGTAGCATGAGTTAGCATACAGACGTGGAAGTTCTCTGTAACAAATCTACTTAAAACTGAGAAACTTTTAAGAATTAAATAACCTGTCCACAATTCTATTTTTATATATTAGGGTAATACTGCCTGTAAGTATCATTGCAAATTTCAAAATAAATTTGTATGTGAATGAGATAATCCATAAACCACTGAAAGAAAACATCAATAACTCCAAGTAAGGTTATTTCAATAGTGATTTTAAAACAACATAAGCAGCTTACAACATTTTGCCTTTAAAAAGAAGGCAAGAGTTCCTTAACCCAAATAGCTGGCTCTATCACTTTCATGAAATAAAATATTTTAGTTTACTTTAAAAATAACAATCAATTTTTTCTTTTTTAAGACGGAGTTTTGCTGATGTTGCCCAGGCTGGAGTGCAATGGCACGATCTTGGCCCACTGCAACTTCCGCCTCCTGGGTTCAAGCAATTCTCCTGCCTCAGCCTCCCGAGCAGCTGGGATTACAGGCATGTGCCACCACACCCGGCTTATTTTGTAATTTTAGTAGAGATGGGGTTTCTGCATGTTGGTCAGGTTGGTCTTGAACTCCCGACCTCAGGTGATCCGCTCAACTCGGTCTCCCAAAGTGCTGGGATTACAGGCATGAGCCACTGCACCTGGCAACAACCACTTTTTATCTTGTTTTATTTACAAGCAGAACTGCATGAATTCAGAGCAAAGAGGAATTTAAACTGACAGATTCATATATTTAGAAAAAATGCTTATTAGGTTTTAGATGAATAATCTCTAAAACAGCAGAACTTCTTTCTACACATAATTTTACTGTAAGAGCACATTATAAACACATTAACCCAATAACTGGCACTTATACCATTTTTGAGTTGAGTTACTGACACCTCTTCTAGCTTCCATTTAACCACACACTTGAAATAAAATAACCTTCCTCTTCCCTACCCTCCCACACTTTTGTTCCCCAAAAACTCATTTAAGGATCATATAAAGAAGGCCGGGCACAGTGGCTCACGCTTCCAATCCTAACACTTTGGGAGGACAAAGTGAAGGATCACTTGAGGCCAGAATTTCAAAGCCAGCCTGAGCAATGCAGTGAGACCCTATCTCCATAAAAAAATTTAAAAATTAGCCAGGCATGATGGTGCATGCCTGTAGTCCCAGCTACTTGGGAAGCTGAGATAGGAGAGTCGCCTGAGCCCAGGAATTCAGGGCTATAGTACACCATGATCACATCACTGCACTCCAGCCTGGGAGACAGGGCAAGACCCTGTCTCCAGAAAAAGAGGAGAAATTAACATACTATCTTATGTATTTTACTGGTTTTTAGCAGGTGATTGTATTTGGTATCTCCTTGAGTTGTGTGTGCTAGGCACTATGCCAGAAATTCACAGCTGAGGGCTAGGACTATGAAGAAGTCTTAGGATAAGAAATGCAGATTGGCCGGGCGCGGTGGCTCAAGCCTGTAATCCCAGCACTTTGGGAGGCCGAGACGGGCGGATCACGAGGTCAGGAGATCAAGACCATCCTGGCTAACATGGTAAAACCCCGTCTCTACTAAAAATACAAAAAAAAATCTAGCCGGGCGAGGTGGCGGGCGCCTGTAGTCCCAACTACTCGGGAGGCTGAGGCAGGAGAATTCCGTGAACCCGGGAGGCGGAGCTTGCAGTGAGCTGAGATCTGGCCACTGCACTCCAGCCTGGCCGTCTCAAGAAAAAAAAAAAAGTGTATCACTGACGAATGAATTCACACAACTCACCTGCACACCTACAAAAGAAAAGAAATGCAGATTATATTTACATACATTCAGGCTTTAGTACCCTGTCACCAGCACGTGATGCACCTTATCTGAGTCAAATATTATCTCTAATGCTTTTTGCCATAAAGTAAGTTTTGTCTGAAATTATGTTATTAGTCATTTTGCAAGTAGCATTTTATAATTGAGAACTATATTATTCTCATGCTCTTTTACAACTAGAAAGGCAGAATAAACACAAAAAACATCAGCAGAACATGTTCCCTAGCACAGGGAATACACAAGCTGAGAACAACACCTAAATGGCGTAACTTACATCTGGAGGCCTTCCTGCAGTTAAAGACTTCTAAAACCATAGTGTATTTCACATCTAGAAGGATAAATGACCTCTTGATCCCTGCCCTACATGGCAGAAATTAGCATGCCAACCCTACAGGAAAGAGCTGCTTTCAATATTTGCCTTTGGTTAGAGTTCACAGATGTTCCAAAACTACAAAATCTCAACCTGACTATTTAGTTCCTGTAACTATTCACTCCCTAAACATTCTATAAAAAATTACCTTCTTATTTCTCTAAACTTGGTATATATACTTACATATTTCATTTTTCTAAGTAATCCTTATTTCAATATCAGTAGAAAGAGTGCTAGAACCCAGGAGGCGGAGGTTGCAATGAGCTGAGATCATGCCACTGCACTCCAGCCTGGCCGTCTCAAGAAAAAAAAAAAAGTGTATCACTGACGAATGAATTCACACAACTCACCTGCACACCTACAGTTTTAATTGGCAGCAAGAAGGCATTCAGTGAATGCAGACTGGTAATTTGCATCAGCTTCTCCTGATCCTCTTCTGTTGTGCAGGCTTTGACTCTCTGTAATAGGGTATGTGGCTGAGAAAAACCAAAGAGGCATTTTTTCAGTTTTAAGAAATAAGGTATTCACTCTTTTATTATCTACTACTATCTTATGTATTTTACTGGTTTTTAGCAGTGGATTGTATTTGGTATCTCCTTGAGTTGTGTGTGCTATGCACTATGCCAGAAATTCACAGCTGAGGGCTAGGACTATGAAGAAGTCTTAGGATAAGAAATGCAGATTAGGTTTACATACATTTAGGCTTTAGTACCCTGTCACCAGCAAGTGATGCACCTTATCTGAGTCAAATATTATCTCTAATGCTTTTTGCCATAAAGTCAGTTCTGTTTGAAATTAATATAGCTCTACCCATTTCTTTATTTACCTGGTATATGTTTTTCCATTCTTTAATTTTCACTCCTCCTATCCCTAGGTATTAGTAATGCCTGTTATGAACAGACTATACTTTTCGTATTTACTATTCTATACTAAACAGATTTTAGTTTTCAATCTAGTTTGACAGTCTATGTTTTAACTAGGGATATTAGTCCTTTTAATGAGTTATCAATATAGTTGAATTTCATTCTACAATCTTATTCTGTAATTATCTATTTATCCCATTTTTTACTCTTACTCCTTTTTGTTGTCTTTTGAACTGGTGATTTCTCCCAGCTCATTTATTTCCTGTTTACCAATTTTGAAGTTAAATCCTCTATTTCTATTCTTGCAGTAGTTGCCCTTAAGTGTTAACAAGGATACTTAAAAGATAATCAATCTTCTGTCCTTCTGGCAAATAATACAGGCATCTTTGAATTCCTTAGCTCAAATCAATCCCTTTGTGGCTTACATGTTACTTCTGCTAAACATTGTTACATATTTTCTAATAAACAAGAACAAGTAGGTATCATTTTTACCTCTACTCCCAATTTTATAATTATTTTTATCATTTTATACAGTCCATGTTTGTTTCAGTTTTACTCATTTACCATTTTCTTTGCTTAGCATTCCTTCTTGTACTCACGACTTTCTCCTGGTATCCTGCTGTTTCTCCTGAAGTCAGTTCTTTAAAACAATGGTTCTCAGCCGGGCGCAGTGGCTCACACCTGTAATCCCAGCACTTTGGGAGGCCGAGGCGGGTGGATCACCTGAGGTCAGGAGTTCGAGACCAGCCTGACCAACATGGAGAAACCCCATCTCTACTGAAAATACAAAAGTAGCCAGGAGTGATGGCACATGCCTGTAATCCCAGCTACTCGGGAGGCTGAGGCAGGAGAATGGCTTGAACCTGGGAGATGGAGGTTGCAGCGAGCTGAGATCGTGCTATTGCACTCTAGCCTGGGCAACAAGAGCAAAACTTCATCTCAAAAAAAAAAAAAAAAAGTTCTCAACCCTAACTGCACAAATTACTTGGGATGCTCAGGTCCCATCTCAGACCAATTAAATTCTAGCGCTATATATCAAGAATAGTATACTTCAAAAGCAAGGGACTATTAGTAGTAAATTCTATGTAATCTCAAAATAACTTTATTTTGCCCTTGTTTTTAAAAGACAGTTCAGCTGTTCACTACAGTTAATTATTTTCTCTTAGCATTTTGAAGTCTTACCTTTACTGTTTCAGTATAATTTCCTGGGTAGGTAATTGATCTGTTCTCTGCAGCTGCTCTGTCTTTGGCAGTCTTTAATTTCTCTAAGATATGCTTACTAGGTGTCAAATTATTTCCCTTTATTCTGCTTGAGATGTGTTACGTTTCCTGAATCTGAGCCATCATGTCTTTTACCAGCGTGGAGGAATTAATACATTTTTGTCTATTATTTCCTTCTGGACATATGTCAGCACTTGCCTTATCCTTCTATCTTAACCTTCTGTACCTATATTTTCTTTATGATGATTTGTACTAATTTCTGGATAATCTCTAAACATCTTTCTTTTAGTTCGTTAATTCTGTCTTTAAGCTGTTTTTCAGTTACTATTTTCATTCCCAGAACTTATTTTCAAATCTGCCCAGTTATTTTTAGTAGTCTCTTATACATTATTCTTATTATCAATAGCTTATTTCTATTTACTTTACATATTGCTTGTTAATTCCAGTAAAGTCCTGAGGGTCTTGTTCTGACAGTTTTTTCCCTTCTCATTCATGGTGCCATACTTCTATATGTGATTTATATTTTTTATTATAACTTCATATTTGTTGGAATTCTATCTATGAGAATCCTTTGGGACCTAGGTGAAGATGTTCTAAAGAGAATCTGTATTGCTCCTTGCCTAACTCCCATAAGCACTACCAACCGAGATCCACTTTAAAATTCTTACGTTGCAATTTTCAGACCACACACATTACATAAATTAAAACCCCACATCTGTAGAATAAAGTAGACTGGGGAACTTTTCCATTCATCTTCACTTTGGAGCTAAAGTGTTGCATAGTGTGAAGATATCTGATCCAATCTCTGGCCCTTCTTGGACCCAGTCTCATACTCAGACACCTGTACATAAATGAAATTGTCAAAACCCAAATCCTAGACCACACAGGATTTGAAGCTGTCCTCAGAGGAGCAGACAGCTTTGGTTTCTTGAAATGATGCTCTCAATAAATTCCTGACTCAAAGGATTTCCCTTACTTTCTTGCAATACACATAAGACAGTGCTTTAAAATACTCTATCTGACATTTTTAGAGACTCAGGATATCCAGTCTTGTTTCGCTGGAAGGAAAAATGTATGTATAAGAATATCCGTGGAATACTTTCTCCACAGTCATTTCAAAGGTTACATTGCTCCAAATTTTCAAATAATAAAACCCTAAAAAATTCATTATAAATGCTGGTATATAGTAAGAATCCATTCAATTTCTTGTAATGATTAGCTGTATCAAATATTACCTTTTTAACACTTGCAGAAAAATCAGCTACTATTTTCAAAATATTGTTGGTTTCAGGAAAGTCCTTACAAATATAAGGTTCTTCAGCACATATAACTCTGATTGCCAGGCCAGGACCTAAAGGTAAGAGTAAGTATTTAACATTAATGTTATATTTCCAATATAAAAATCTGATATAAAAATGCCACTATTTTCAAAATATAAAACCTTTCCAAAATTAAAATCCATCTGCCATCATAAGTATCCAAGTGTAGCTATTAGTTTCCCATTCAACTCAGCATTCTTTAGAATGCTTCAACATTCTAAAAATGTTGTAACATTTAGAATGCCGCAACATTTAAGTTATGCACACTTTTTAGTCTGCATAACTTTTCGGCTTGTTAGTCTCTGTCCCTAAGTTTCTTCATCTATAAAACAGGATAATACTATCCTAGTTTCCATTGTGAGGCTCAAATAAGACAACATGTTTAATTCTCTCCCTATCATTCCTGTCTCTCTTTTTAAGAGACAGAGTCTTGCTCTGTCACCAAGGCTGGAGTGCAGTGGTGCAATTATTGCTGACTGCAGCGTCAAATTCCTGAGCTCAAGCAGTCCTCCCACCTCAGCCTCCTAAATAGCTGGGATTACAAGCACACGCAGCCGTGCCTGGCTAATTTTTTCAGTAAAGGCAGGGGTTTCACTATGCTGTTCAGACTGGTCTTGAACTCCAGAAGCTCAGCTTCTGGAAATGCTGGAATTATAGGCGTGAGCCACTGACTGCACTTGGCCTATCCTATTTTTATAGTCCATGTATTAAGTATCACAAAATTATCCAGTTAATATTTTTAGTTTATAACATATGTGCCAATCTATTCAAAGTTTTTAATAAGGGAATCTTCCAACATATACATAAAGAGAACAGTATAATTAACCACCTTACTCATCATCCAACTTCGACTATCAATCTGATTTTAGGAATGGTATTATACTGTTAAAATATATACATAATCAAATAAATAATGTGAGTTTTTAATACCAAAAAATGTGAACTGGTATTTCTATTTTATTTTATTTTGACAGACTCTCATTCTATCACCCAGGCTGAAGGACAGTGGCACAATTTGAGCTCACTGCAACTTCCACCTCCCGAGTTCAAGAGATTCTCCTGCCTTACCCTCCCCTAGCAGCCACCAGTAGTACCTAGTACAGGCATGCACAACCATGCCCAGCTAATTTCTTGTATTTTTAGTAGAGACTGGGTTTCACTGCGTTGGCCAGGCTGGTCTGGAACTCCTGACCTCAAGTGATCCGCCCGCCTAGGCTTCCTGAAGTGCTGGAATTACAGGCATGAGTCACTGCACTCGACTTCCGTTTTACCAAATACTTAAAAGTTCGTAAAAACACAAGGTGTGCACAGACGTATGAAAAACTGGATTCTGCTGCTTTACTACAACAGAAGAGGCATCACTTGAGATGCCTAGTTGTAGGCAAAACCTCAGCTATGTCCATTAATTTCCTAGTCCATTCTTTACCTTTAGAATAAACAGCATATTTAAGATAGTTTTTAAAGTAGCAAAACAATTTTTGCTAATGAAATCTTACATAACAGACAACTCAACATACAAAGTAGATTTTTAAAACATCAAGTGAGTCTAGATGAAATAATGACCAAGGACATAGAACACTTGCCTTCCCTCCATTACATTCACAGACCATGTTTTTTTTTTTTTTTTCAAGATGGAGTCGTGCTCTGTTGCCGAGGTTGGAGTGCCGTGGTATAATCTTGGCTCACAGCAACCTCCGCCTCCTGGGTTCAAGCGATTCTCCTGCCTTAATCTCCCGAGTAGCTGGAATTACAGGCGCCTGCCACCACACCTGGCTAACTTTTGTATTTTTAGTAGACTCAGGAGTACAGGTATGAGCCACACGCCAGTCCACAGACCATTCTTTGCCAGCATGCAGGTTAGGGACTAAAGATCTCAATCTGATTACTAGATTTGAGAACAAGTGCTAATCACCACATAGGTTACATATTTGTAAAGCTGTTTATGGAGCCAATATGATCATTAAGAGTATAAACTCAGAGCTAAAAATTATTGGGGATATAATTCTGGCTCCACTCCTTTCAATCTGCATAACTTTTGGCAAATTAGTTGCTTTCCCTAAGTTTCTTCATCTGTAAAACAGGATAATACTAGTTTCCACTGTGAAGATTAAATAAGACAATAAAAGTATTTAGCAGAGTGCCTAGCACATAGAGTACTCAAGAAATGTTGGCTATTATTCTGTTTTTCAATTCGATTAGGTCATTCTCCCAAATCATCCCCTAATCACTATTACAGTGAGCTAGAACCTGAGGTACAGACTTGCCCAACCTCTCAAGAAATAGTAACAAAAACAGGTTAAGACCTGCAGTCCTAACTTTAAACAAGTATCACTTCTAATTTTTTTCTATATGACAGCAAATGGAGTATTATTTGTTCAGGAATTAGTTACATTGTGCCAAGAAGAAGTGGTTCATCCATTCAAACAAGTCAGACATAGGACAAGGATTTTAAAGAGCTAAGTTTAAATCCTCACATCTTCCATGGAAAAGACTATGGTATGGTACAAAGAATATAACAAATCCTAGCTCTACTACTAGGACTGTGTGGCAATGTTATTAAAATATCTTTATGTCTTGGTTTTCTCATCTGATGGCAACATCAGATGCCAAACTCCCAAGGATAATGTAACACTGAAATGCAAAGACAATGGAAAATGAGTATTTAATAAAATGAAGTAAATACAGTAGATACTCAAAAGATTTCAATTATTCCCTAACCATCCTTTCCTTTCTCTCATGTTACATATTCCCTGAGATGACAGATTATTTCAGAATTGTATGAATTGATTTTTCTTCAACATGAAGGTCTAAAGATGAATTAGGCCGGGCGCAGTGGCTCCACGCCGTGGTGAATCCTCAGCACTTTGGGAGCCGAGGTGGGCAGGTCACGAGGTTCAGGAGATTGAGACATCCTGGCTAACACGGTGAACCCCGTCTCTACTAAGAATACAAAAAAAAAATTAGCGGGCATGGGGTTGGGACCTGTAGTTCTAGCTACTTGGGATGGCTGAGGCAGGAGAATTGGCGTGAACCGCGAAGGTGGAGTTTGCAGTGAGCCGAGATCGCGCCACTGCACTCCAGCCTGGGTGACAGAGCGAGACTCTGTCTAAAAAAAAAAAAAAAAAAAAAAAAGATGAATCAAACAAAATTCAATTCTAATTTTTACCTGGAAATGGATGCCTGGAAACTAACTCTTCTGGAAGTCCAAGTTCTCTGCCCAAAATTCTCACTTCATCTTTATGAAAATCTTTCAGAGGTTCTATTACTTTTCCCTACAGGGAGGAAAGAAGCCAACCAATACAAATTAGTAACCAAGATGACATGACAAACAAAGGGTAATAAATTATTGGCTTTTCCTGTTACCATTTCTCTTAACACTAACAGATTATTATTAAAAATGCATCTTTTAAAGTATTTATTCCTAAATGCCTATAAGGAATTAGATGAATATGTTAGTGCTATTATTTCTCTTTGAAGCACATTTTAAACATAAACTTTTTAGATATAAGTAAATCAGGGTAAACCAATCCATCATCTCTGATCTAGTTATCATTAGAACACAAAGCAATTAGAAAATATACTAGTGTTCCAAAATTAAAATTCTCCAAATACTATCACTGAGAAAATGAAAAGACAACTCACAGAACTAGAGAAAACATTTGCAAATCATATATCTGATAAAAGATTTGTAACCAGAATATATAAAGAACATTTACAACTCAGTAATAAAAAGATCAATAAGTCAATTAAAAAATAAGCAAAGCTAATGGGTATTAGGCTTAATACCTGGGTGATGAAATAATCTGTATAACAAACCCCTATGACACAAGTTTACCTATGTAACAAGTTACAGTTACCTATGTAACTACACTTATACCCTTGAACTTAAAATAATTTTTTTTTTAAAAAGGGAACAAAGGATATGAATAGACATTTCTCCAAGATACACAAATGGCCAATAAGCAAGAACATGCAAAAATGCTCAACATCATGAGCTATTAGGGAAATGCAAATCAAAACACCACTTCATATACACTAGGATGACTAACATTTTTATTTACTTTTTTTTTAAGACGGAGTCTCACTCCGTTGCTCAGGTGGGAGTGCAGTGGCACAATCTCAGCTCACTGCAACCTCTGCCTCCCAGGTTCAAGCAATTCTCCTGCCTCAGCCTCCAGAGTAGCTGGAACTACAGGCATGCACCACCAAACCTGGCTAATTTTTTTGTATTTTTAGTAGAGACAGGGTTTCACCATGTTGGCCAGACTGGTCTCGAATTCCTGGCTTCAAGTGATCCATCTGCCTTGGCCTCCCAAAGTGCTGGGATCACAGATACGAGCCACTGTGCTGGGCCAGATGACTAAAAATTTTTAAAGTCAGATAACACATCCATAAAAAAATAGAAAATAACAAATTGTAAGCATTTGGAAAAACTGTAGTCCTTACGTACTTTTGGTTGGATTGTAAAATGGTGCAATTGCTATGGACAACAGTTTCCTCAAAAAAATTAAAAACAGAACTACCATATGATCCAACAATCCCAATTCTGGGCACATATCCAAAAGATAAACAAAAATGGATAAGCAAAACGTGGTATATACCTATAGTAGTATATTACTCAGTCTGTTTTTTTGTTTTTGAGATGGAGTTTCACTCTTAATGCCCAGGCTAGAGTGCAATGGCAATCTTGGCAATCTTGAACCTCCAGGGTTCAAGCAATTCTCCTGCCTCAGCCTCCCAAGTAGCTGGCATTACAGATGCCCACCACCACGCCTGGCTAATTTTTGTAATCTTAGTAAAGACAGGGTTTCACTGTGTTGACCAGCTGGTCTCGAACTCCTGACCTCAGCTGATCCACCCGCCTCAGCCTCCCAAAGCACTAGGCATGAGTCACTGCACCTGGCCCATTATTCAGTCTTAAAAGAGAAGGAAATTCTGTCACATGCTACAACATGAATGAACCTTAAGGACATTATGCTAAGTGAAATAAGCAAGTCACAAAAAGGCAATACAGTATAATTTCACCTATATGAGGTATTTAAAGTAGTGAAACATAGAAACAGAAAGCAGAATGGTGGTTACCAGAGGGTGGGGGCCAGAAAAAAGGGAGAGTTGTTTTTTAACGGTATAGAGTTTGTTTTGCAAGATGAAAAGTTATGAAGATCTGTTTTACAACAATGTGAATACACCTAACACTACTGAACCTTATACTTTAAAATAGTTAAGATGAGGCTGGACGCAGTGGCTCGCACCTGTAATCCCAGTACTTTGGGAGGCAGAGGTGGGTGGATCACCTGAGGCCAGGAGTTCAAGACCAGCCTGGCCAACATAGTGAAACCCCATCTCTACTAAAAATACAAAATTAGCCAGGCCTGGTGGCACACGCCTGTAATCCCAGCCTACTTGGGAGGGCTGAGGCAGGAGAATTGCTTGAACCAGGAGGCAGAGGTTGCTTGAGCCCAAGGTCACATGACTGCTGCCTCCCAGCCTGGGCCAATAGAGTGAGACTCCTGTCTTAAAAAAAAAAAACACAAAAACAGAATTAACGATGTAAAATGTTCATGTATGGTGATTGTTGTGTTATTGCAATAAGAAAAGAGATAAACAACAAGTCTTGGTGAGGAGTGGAAAGAATTTGAATCTCATTACGTTTCTAAGTGAGAATGTAATAATTGGTATCGTCATTTCAAATAATAGTCTCCAGTTTGCAATTTAGATTCCAAAATGTAAATAAGACACTGACAATTCCACTCCCAGGCATATACCGAAATAGAATAAAAGCACCATATCCACCAAAACTTTGACCAGTATTCACCAAGGCCAGCATTATTTTTTTTTATTTTTTTTTTTTTTTTGCAGACGCGAGTCTCGCTCTGTCACCCAAGCTGGATGCATGTGGCCGGAAATCTCAGCTCACTGCAAGCTCCGCCGCTCCGGAGTTTACGCCATTTGACTCTCCAGCCTCCCCGAGTGCTGGGACTACACAGCGCCCTGCCACCTCGCCCGGCTAGTTTTTTGTAATTTTTTAGTAAGAGACGGGGTTTCACCCGGTGTTAGCCAGGATGGTCTTGGATCCTCCTGACCTCGTGATTCGCCCGTCTCGGCCTCCCAAAGTGCTGGAATTACAGGCACCACCTTGAGCCACCGCGCCGGCC